AGAACTGCACAGCTTCGTGGAAACTGAACAACTGGCTCTTGAATGTTGACTGGATAAACAATGAAATGAAGGCAGAAATAAAGATGTTCTTCGAAACCAACGAGAACGAAGACACAACATACCAGAATCTCTGGGACACATTTAAAGCAGTGTCTAGAGGAAAATATAAAGCAATAAATGCCCACATGAGAAGCAAGGAAAGATCTAAAATCAATACCCTATCGTCAAAATTAAAAGAGCTAGAAGAACAAGATCAAAAAACTCAAAACCTAGCAGAAGACAAGAAATAACTAAGATCAGAGCAGAACTGAAGGAGATAGAGACACAAAAAACTCTTCAAAAAAAGAAATCAATAAATCCAGGAGCTGGTTTTTTGAAAAGATCAACAAAATAGACCACTATCCAGATTAATAAAAAAGAAAAGAGAGAATAATCAAATAGATGCAATAAAAACTGATAAAGGGGATATCACCAGATTCCACAGAAATACAAACCATCATCAGAAATTATTACAAACTCTATGCACGAAAACTAGTAAACCTGGAAGAAATAAATAAATTCCTGGGCACTTGCATCCTCCCAAGCCTAAACCAGGAAGAAGTCAAAACCCTGAATAAACCAATAACAAGGGCTAAAGTTTAGGCAGCAGTTAATAGCCTACCACCCAAATAAAGCCCAGATCCAGATGGATTCAAAGCCAAATTCTACCAGACATACAAAGAAGAGCTGGTACCATTCCTTCTGAAACTATTCCAAACAATCCAAAAAGAAGGAATCCTTCCCAAATCATTTCATGAGACCAACATCATCCTGATATCAAAACCTAGCAGAGACTCAACAAGAAGAGAAAACTTCAGGCCAATATCCATGATGAACATAGATGCAAAAATCTTCAATAAAATACTGGCAAACCGATTGCAAGAGCACATCAAAAAGCTTATCCACCATGATCAAGTAGGCTTCATCCCAGGGATGCAAGGCTGGTTCAACATACGCAAGTCTATAAACGTAATTCACGACATAAACAGAACCAAAAACAAAAACCAGATAACTATCTCAATAGATGCAGAAAAGGCCTCCCACAAAATTCAACAACGCTTTATGCTAAAAATACCTCTCAATAAACTAGGTATTAATGGAACATATCTCAAAACAATAAAAGCTATTTATGAGAAACCCATAGCCAATATCATACTGAATGGGCAAAAACAGGAAGCATTTCCTTTGAAATCTGGCACTAGACAAGGATGCCCTCTCTCACCACTCCTATTCAATATAGTATTGGAAGTTCTAGCCAGAGCAATCAAGCAAGAAAAAGAAATAAAGGGTATTCAATTGGAAAAGGAAGAAGTCAAATTGTCTCTATTTACAGATGACATGATTGTATATTTAGAAGACCCACTGACTCAGCCCAAAATCTCCTGAAACTGATAAGCAACTTCAGCAAAGTCTCAGGATACAAAATCAATGTGCAAAAATCACAAGCATTCCTATACACCAGTAACAGACTTGAGAGCCAAATCAAGAATGAACTGCCATTCCCAATTGCCACAAAGAGAGTAAAATACCTAGGAATACAATTAACAAAGAACATAAAGGACCTCTTCAAGGAGAACTACAAACCACTGCTCAAGGAAATAAGAGAGGACACAAACAGATGGAGAAACATTCCATGTTCATGGTTAGGAAGAATCAATATTGTGAAAACGTCCACACTGACCAAAGTAATTTACAGAATCAACGCTATCCCCATCAAGCTACCAATGACCTTCTTCACAGAACTGGAAAAAACCACCTTAAACTTCATATGAAACCAAAAGACAGCCCGCATAGCCAAGTCAATTCTAAGCAAAAAGAACAAAGCTGGAGGCATCACACTACTGGACTTCAAACTTTATTACAAGGCTACAGTAATCAAAACAGCATGGTACGGGTACCAAAACAGACATATAGACCAATGGAACAAAACAGAGGCCTCGGAGGCAACGCCACACATCTACAACCATCTGATCTTTGACAAACCTGACAAAAACAAGCAATGGGGAAAGGATTCCCTGTTTAACAAATGGTGTTGGGAAAACTGGCTAGCCATGTGCAGAAAGCAGAAACTGGACCCCTTCCAGACACCTTACACTAAAATTAACTCAAGATGGATTAAAGACTTAAACATAAGGCCTAACACCATAAAAACCCTAGAAGAAAACCTAGGCAAAACCATTTGGGACATAGGCATAGGCAAGGACTTCATGACTATTAACACCAAAAGCATTAGCAACAAAATCCAAAATAGACAAATGGAACCTAATCAAACTCCACAGTTTCTGCACAGCAAAAGAAACAGTCATTAGAGTGAATCGGCAACCAACAGAATGGGAAAAAATGTTTGCGATCTACCCATCTGACAAAGGGCTAATATCCAGAATCTACAAAGAACTAAAACAGATTTACAAGAAAAAAAACAAAGAAGCCCATTCAAAAGTGGACAAAGGATATGAACAGACACTTTTCAAAAGAAGACATACATGAGGCCAACAAACATATGAAAAAATGCTCATTATCACTGGTCATTAGAGAAATGCAAATCAAAACTACATTGAGATACCATCTCACGCCAGTTAGAATGGCAATCATTAAAAATTCTGGAGACAACAGATGCTGAAGAGGATGTGGAGAAATAGGAACACTTTTACACTGTTGGTGGGAGTGTAAATTCGTTCAACCATTGTGGAAGACAGTGTGGTGATTCCTCAGGGACCTAGGTATAGAAATTCCATTTGACCCAGCAATCCCGTTACTGGGTATATATTGAAAGGATTATAAATCGTTCTACTATGAGGACACATGCACACCAATGTTCATTGTGGCACTGTTTACAATAGCAAAGACTTGGAACCAACCCAAATGCACATCGATGACAGACTTGACAGAAAAAATGTGGCACATACACACCATGGAATACTATGCAGCCATAAAAGACCATGAATTCGTGTCCTTTATAGGGACAAGGATGAACCTGGAAACCATCATTCTCAGCAAACTGACACAAGAACAGAAAATCAAACACCGCATGTTCTCAGTCATACGCGGGTATTCAACAATGAGAACACATGGACACAGGGAGGGGAGCATCACACACTGGGGTCTGTCGGGGAAATAGAGGAGGGACAGCAGGGGGGTGGGGAGTTGGGGAGAAATAGCATGGGGAGAAATGCCAGATATAGGTGATGGGGAAGAAGGCAGCAAATCACACTGCCATGTGTGTACCTATGCAACAATCTTGCCTGCTCTTCACATGTACCCCAAAACCTAAAATGCAATTAAAGAAAAAACAAGGCTGGTGGGGTAAAGATTGGGGACAGGTGAGAAGTGTGAGGGAAGAAAAAGTAAATGGCCATTTTATTATTTAATAATGCCAAAAGTTATCTGTATCCTACTCAGAAAGAAAGTGTTCATGGAAAGCTGCAGAGTTCATGCCTCATATAGAGGAGGCAGCAACTGACTATTGCCAAGTAAAATACAAGCCAATGTCACCAAACCTCCCAGTATTTCAAGAAAAGCAGGAAATGTGAATTTTTGGTGAATTCTTTCAACATTTAAGATTGGTGATCACAGGTCACCAATATGTCATCTCTGAACTACAGAAACCAATAGGCCTGCAAAAGGAAAAACCCTACAGCAAAATATTAACTCTGGGTAATGAGTACATTGCACAGTGCTATAGTTTGAATGTGTCCCCTCCAAAATTCAGATATAGAAACTTAACAGTCAATGTATTAAGAGGTGAAAGCTTTAAAAGGTGATTAAGCCATGAATAGGATTAACCCATTTATGCCTAGTGTTCCATTATCAGAACTCTACGCTGGTAGGAGTTATTCATATCCTTCTTCTCAAGGTTATTGCCAAGGTCTGATTTTCACACAGACACAAAATTGGCAACCTCTGGCATAAATGGGTTAAAGTTATAAAAGAGGCTTCATGCAGGGAAGCTGTGGCCCTACTCCCCTTCTGTCCGGTCTGCCACGTGAGGGCGTGGAGTTCCTCCCCTCCAGAAGATGCAACAACAAGATGCCATCTCAGAAGTAGAGAGGCACGCTCATCAGTCAACCAAACCTACCAGCACCTTGACCTTCAACTTCCCAGCCTCCAGAATTGTGAGAATATAACTTTCTGTTCTTTACAAATTACCCAGGCTAAGGCATTTTTTATGACAGCATAAATGGACTGAGGGTATCTTTTATACCATTTTCTCTTTCTCTGTATAACTGAAGTATTTCCTATCTGTATGTAAAATAAGGTCATTATTATTTTTCATCTTTCTGTATTTGTGAAAATTTTCAAAGTAAACAGTTCAGGGAAAGAAGATTCCTTTAGGAGGACCTTTTTCTCATCTAGAAGGGTGTGAGGTAGAAGCTGGAAGTACCCATCCAAGCTGCTTATAGGTCAGGAGGTACTCTTCAAGGGCCAAAAAAATAACAACTGCCATTCTGGATGGCATTCTTCCAAAGCAACCTTTTTCTTCCCTCTCCTTTTTCTTTTTTCCCCGTCTTGCCCTAACAAGACCATTTCTTCTCGTCTGCCCTAATGGGGGTGGAGGGAGGTGCAGTGAGGGGAGAAAGCAAGAAGCTTAATTTGGTGATTTGTGTTTTGTCTTCACATGAAGCCACATCTTATTCACTCTTGAACCTGACTGATTGGGCGGGGGCATATGGGCATGCACTATGCCATTCTAATATTCTATACATGTGAAACTTTTTGTGATTAAAAAAATGTTTTGCAAGTTGAATGACAGAAGAAAAAAAAGAAATGTTTTAAGTGATTAACAAAATCATAGTCAGCATGTTTTCTTTCAGAACAATTCAGGAATATGAATCAAGACCAATCCAGATACCCAAGTGGCACTTTACATTTTGCAATATATTACTTTATAAAACAGACTTCTTATGGTAAGTGGCTATCAGCTGAATTTTGTAGTTTTAGAATAAGGCAATGCTAAATATTACCTTCGACTCAACTCTGGTTTGAGTGCTTCACAGCCTTCAGAAGGTGCTCCAGCGATCAGGTGAGCTGCCAATTTCTGCACTATGGGATGATAGTGCCTCTGAATGGGAAATGGGACAATCACATTTTGCACATGTCAGTCCTTTACAAAAAACACTATCCACAGCAATGATTTTCTTAAATAAAATTATACCAATTGTTTTAGTCACCTATGCACAGTATATGTAATTGATTAGAAGTACATTACCTACAGAAAGATGATCATCTTTGCTCACAGGACTCAAACAAATCAAGTTACCAGTGGTGTAGTTTAGTCTTGCTTTTACAATATAAAAAAAAAATGAACAAGCAATTCCTCTTTCAGAGTGAAAAAAGTTGATTTACAACAGGTTACCTGACATATTTTCTACAAGTCTCACTCTAATGCTATCCATACTGTAGGATCACTGTATACATGAATCTATCTTGAAACAGAGCTTACTAAAATCTCCTTGGATAGGACTCAATAGAAATGCACCTGATAACAAATCCTCTGCAGAGTGTTAGGGAAAAGTTTCTATAAATCTTCCACAGCCACACCCTATAGAACTGACACTATTTTCTGCTTCTTTAGAAAATGTACCTCGACAGCTTAAAGAATAGTAAGAACAAAATAAAATGTCGCGTACTAAAACAGGAATTCTAAAAAAGGCAGCCCACGAACAAAATATAATTAAGTAGTCTGGCAATAACAACTATTTGAAGAAAAACTGGAAAAAAACTGTTCACACATATCCCCAAAAAGAAAAAGCCCAGGGCCACTCTTACCCGCAGTGCATACAGTTCCCATAAAGCAGTGTTCTGAGCGTTGCAGTACTCAGGCTCATCCAGTTCAGGGAGGAAAACTCCACTTCCCTGAGATTCACTGTCAAGCAGTAGATCTGTTTTGGGGAAAGTCTGCAAAAATGTCACATAAAAAGAAGTGGTGAATTAAAACTGTTAATGTAACAGGTGTTACTGGTTTGTTGTTGTATTTGCATTTAAATTTATGGCTGCATAAGAGCTTTAGCGTAAAGTCTTTACACCTAGTTTCAATAAAACAATTTAAGTTTATATCATAAGAGTTGCAAAAAAAAATATTTTATCTTGGCTTGCTTTGAAAATTTATTTTATTAGGCAAAAGAAAACAATATTCTTTTCACCTTGAAACCCCACTTTTAGGAATCTTATAGAAATAATTATTTCAGATTAATATATAAAGGTATCCTCTATAGCATCATTTGTAATAGCAAAAAAGAAATAACCTCTATCAACAGAAATAGAAAGAAGTAGAAAAACCAGACTGCCCACATTTGTGTCACTTCTACCACTGACTAGCAGTGCTACTCAAGGCAAGACATTTAACACCTCTGGACCTCAGTTTTCCCACATGTAAAACTGGCTATCTCAGAGTTATGAAAATTAAATTTTTGTAAAGCATTTATAAAAGCGGAAGGCACACAGTCAGAACTATGTGTTTGTTAAGCAAAGAACTAAATAAATCTTAGGCATTAAAGAAATAGAGTAGTGATATTTGTGCTGACATAATAATGTGTTTACCATGATTAAATGCTAAGGTTAAAAAAGTGGTAGAATATATAGCATAATCCCCTTTCCATTAAAAAAAAAAAGTTGTGTTGTTTCTATGTGTAGCGTATGTGTTTACATATGAACTTTAAATGGCTGCTGGAAAAATACTCACTAAATGGTAAATGGAGACCCAACTAATGACACTCTGAGAAGTGTCAATAGGTATAAAATGCTTTTTAAATTTTATGTACTTCTTTTGTCACCTGATTTTGTTACAAGTGTGAATTACTTCTGTAATTGAAATGATAATGTAAAAGGAGGAAAAAGACATGCATCAAAAAAAAAAAGTCATTGCATTATAAGAACTTGGCTCTGTTCATTTGTATCACTACTTACATGCATTAATATTCTGGTAGTTGCTAAAATGCCAATACTTGAATTTGGAAGAACATGAAGAGCAAGGGTACAAAGGCGTTTGACGAAGGCAAGGGCTCGCTGCTGAGAAACTTGCTTTCTGCGCTTAGTTAGCATGACATCAAGGCACTGGAGTACAATCTCAACACCTTCATTGGTAGCACCTAAAACAGGAGACACAACCTTCAGAGCCATTCTCATTACTTTTTCCTTATGCAACTGGACTGAACTTTAGATAAATCCAAGATAAACTATGGTACCTGCCCCAAACCATTTCCCTAACCAATGAGGTAGTGCTGTACTGCTAAGGAGATGCAGTAGGCTATACTTATTGCACCTCCAGTCAATTCCAAAAGCTCTTTCTCCGGGTCTTACATAAGATTAAATATAGATGCATGGCACTGGCAGGTCAGCATTTTTGTACCTGTTCCTATTTCTCATTTGTCTGCAATGATTGGTCATAACATATTCTTAAAACATAAAAATGTATAAAAGAAACATCATCTAAACATACACATACCTGCATGTAACTTGAACAGTGTTTTGTAAAGATGTGTGTAGAATTTCATTGGATCAATATTCAGAACGTCACCTTTGAAATGACAACAAACACCAATTAGGTATGTTAGAGCATCCAAAGGTATGCTATCTCTCTATCTCTCTCTCTCTCTCTCTCTCTCACACACACACACACACACACACACACACACACACGTATTTCCAAACAAAACTTGATTAAGAAAACATCTTACCTTGTCCAGAAAGAATATGAAAAGCAGTTTGGACACAGTGAAGACTTTCTTGATAGCTTAGGTCCTTAAAAAAAAGGGAGGGGATGAAATATTAAGAATGATAATTACCATTTGTATCTTTAAAAAAGAACTTTAAGGCCAGGAGCAATGACTCGTGCCTGTAATCCCAGCAATTTAGGAAGCTGAGGAAGGCAGACCGTTTGAGCCCAGGAGTTCAAGACTAGGTTGGGGAACATCGCAAAACCCATCTCTACAAAAAATAGAACCACACACCTGTAGTCCCAGCTACTCAAGAGACTGAAGTGGGAGGCTCACCTGAGCCCTGGGAGGTAGAGGCTGCAGTGAGCTGTGATCATACCACTACACTCCAACCTGGCAACTGAGTGAGACCCTATCTCAAAAAAAAAAAAAGAAGACCTATAAAGGTTATCTTTAAGATAACCTAGTATGAGACAGATCGATAGGGTGACTATAGTTTACAATAATCTATTATATATTTTTAAAGAGCTAGAAGGGAAGACTGTGAATGGTTGTCACATAAAGACACATATTTAAGATGATTGATACCCCAAGTAAAATTTTTACAAACTACATTATATGAATACATTAAATTACCACATATACCCTAAAACTGTAAACATCTATTATGTATCAATTAAAAAAAAAAGAAAACAGGTCAGGTAACCGTCCTGCTTAAACCTCTCTAATCGTTGAAAATGTTTTACATCTTGATTGCAGTGGTAATCATTTAATCATAGGCTTTTGTCAAAATTCATAAACTGTATATCTGAAAGGGGTGAGTTTTACTGTATATAAAACATATCTCAATAAACCTGACAAAAAAATTTTTAAATAGGAATTATTATTTATATCTTTTAAAAAGTAATGTATTAATACTTACACCAGACTCAATGAGAGTATGAAGAACTACTAATAAATCATCAAAAAACTCCACATTTATAAGGTGAGCAAACCTGGAATCAAACAATACTTAGTTAATCAATGAACTAAAAGCAGAAATAAAGTTAGTATAAATTAAGTTTGATGTTAAAACTGCATTTTTAATATTCTTTATTTCAAAATGTTAGCTATGAAAGAGATGGCAATATTAATACTTTTCATTAATTCAGATTGGCCTCTTCAATAATTCATGCGCCACTGAACATTAAACTTAATAGGATTATATAAGGCACTGAACAGACTAAAAATATTTCAAAAATCCTTTTGCCCTGAGAAAGAAATTACTAGAAGCAAACAACTTCCTGAGGAAAGTTTACTAGGTATTCAGTGAGATCAGCTTCTAAGAAAACAGGTGGTGGGAAGAGAGATGAGGATGCTATTTACAAGAATATGGACCTCATGACAGCTTTAATGATAAAATGGAAAGAATACTGGACCTAGTATCTAGTTCAGGCTCTGCTCGTAATTACCTGCATGATCCTAGTGCTGTCCTGGGCCTCTATTTGTAGAAACAATCAAGACCACCCAATGAGGTTAAAGAAGAAGAATCATATGAGCTGCTAAATTAGAGAGTTACTCCATATACAATATTAGACCCTGAAGTAGGTTAAAGTCAGCACATGTCTTCAAAATTAGCAAGAAGTCTTTGACCTATGTAAATCTTAGAACAATAAAAGACCTTATGAGTGATATATTCCATGTGTATTGGCACAACTTTCTGGAGAAGCAATTTGGTAATTATTCATCCAAATTTAAAATGAGCATACCCTTTGATCTGGCAATACAGGCACACATGCATGAAGATACGCATACACACACACACACATGTATTTCCAGGGCCAATAGGAGACTGACCAAATTAAGTACCATATATCTATAAAATGGAGTATTATAAATTTTTTAAAAATTAAGTGATATATATGTGCTAAGGGAAAGACACCAAAAGTAACTGTTTACAAAACAAATAAAAAGGTAAGTTACTGGCCGGGCGCGGTGGCTCAAGCCTGTAATCCCAGCACTTTGGGAGGCCGAGGCGGGTGGATCACGAGGTCAAGAGATCGAGACCATCCTGGTCAACATGGTGAAACCCCGTCTCTACTAAAAAAACAAAAAAATTAGCTGGGCATGGTGGTGTGTGCCTGTAATCCCAGCTACTCAGGAGGCTGAGGCAGGAGAATTGTCTGAACCCAGGAGGTGGAGGCTGCAGTGAGCCGAGATCGCGCCATTGCACTCCAGCCTGGGTAACAAGAATGAAACTCTGTCTCAAAAAAAAAAAGGTAAATTACAGGACATTAAACAGCATGGTTACATTTGCATAAAAGATGGCAGGCAGGCTGGGCACAATGGCTCATGCCTGTAATCCCAGCACTCTGGGAGGCCAAGGCAGGTGGATTACCTGAGGTCAGGAGTTAGAGACCAGCCTGGCCAACATGGGGAAACCCTGTCACTACTAAAAATACAAAAATTACCCAGGTATGGTGGCACATGCCTGTAGTCCCAGCTACCTGGGAGGCTGAGGCGGGAGATCACTTAAACCTAGGAGGTAGAGTTTGCAGTTAGCTCAGATTATGCCACTGCAATCCAGCCTGGGAAAGAGAGCAAGACTCTTTCTCTTAAAATAAAAAAAAAAAGGCCAGGTGTGGTGGCTCACACCTGTAATCCCAGAACTTCAGGAGGCTGAGACAGGTGGATCACGAGGTCAGGAATTTGAGACCAGCCTGGCCAATGTAGTGAAACCCCATCTCTACTATAGACAAGAAAAAATTAGCTGGGCATGGTGGTACATGCCTGTAATCCTAGGTACTCAGGAGGCTGAGGCAGGAGAATCGCTTGAACTTGTGAGCAGAAGTTGCAGTGGGCCGAGATCACGCCACTGCACTCCAGCCTGGGCAACGGGTCAAGACTCCGTCTCAAAAAAAAAGAAAAAAGATGGCAGATGGCAGGCAGACAGACCTACATATATGTACAGAAGAGGAAGCTTGTAATTTTAAATTTTACATTCTCCCGATGCATTTAAACTTTGTAAATGAGCATTTATTATTTTTTAAACTTTTTTAAATAAAGAAATTGGTCATTAAAAAAGCAAATAGCTGGGCTGGGTGTGGTAGTTCACACCTATAATTCTAGTACTTTGTGAGGTCAAGGCTGCAGGATCACTCAGGAGTTCAAGATCAGCCTGGGTAATATAGTGAGACCTCGTCTCTACTAAAAAACAAAAACAAAAGCAGCAGGTCCTACACAATGTAGAAAGAATCCCTTCTCTGACCAGCCTCTCTTTGAACCACAAGGACCATATTGCTATATAAGGAAATGCACAGCATTGCCAAATAGCTCCAATTACTAGAAAGTAATTTCTTATGATGAACAGAACTTGCCTTTTCTGTATCTTCTAGCCATCAGTCCTATTTCCAACTCTATTCCTAAAGCTGTACTGCCCAACAATGGTAGTCACTAGCCACATGTGTCTATTAGGCACTTAAAATGTAGCTAATCCAAATTAAGATGTAAGTGTAAAATATAACAACAGTATTCGAAGAGATGTTATTAAAAAAATACCAATCATCTAATTAATGTTTAATACTGTGTTAAAATTCTTTAGATAAATCCGGTAAAATATATAAAAATTAATTTTAGCTGTTTCTTTACCTTTTTAATGTGGCTAACAGAAAATTTTAAATTACAGATGTAAGTTCACATTGTATTTTTACACAGCAATGTTCCATAGGATACCATCTCAAAAAATTGTGGAGTGCTATCATAACAACCATAACCCTTACTCTAGCTCATATCCTGGCAAGGCCATTAGTGTTGAGTGAATACACAAAAAGATCTATCTTATCAGAAACAGATTACATGGAACCAGAGAAATGATGTACAGCCAGGTTAAAACAGACTTAAGAGTCATCTGCATGATACACTCAGACTATGATGATGGGCAATTGACTACCCAGTGCAAAAGTGTCAAGAACTGAGAGACTTAATCTTAAGCACACCAGAAGTTAGCAGGCAGAAGGAAGGAGTTGGTAAAGGAGATTTTAAAAACAAAAGGTTTGAAAACCAAAAAAGCCCACTGTTATGAACAGCTTGGTGAAAATAGAAAAAGAATGAGAACTAAGGATAATGGGCCATCATTAATGAAACTTAGGAAATTCTTTGGTCTTTCCCATTTAGAAAGAATCTAAAAGGTTTCAACCTACATAGCCCTTACTTGGCAAGACCTTCTAGAACTGCTGGCAGGAGAGGTGACCTCTGGGCCTTCTTCAATATTCTGAAGTAGGTTACAAACACAATATTCAGAGTCTCTGTGTGCTGGCAGAGGAGACAGACAAAATGACTTTAGGATAACCTGGTATGCCTTCTCCTGAATGAACAAAACTATGACTTCAACAGCTTAAACTTCTTTTTCCCTACCCATCCCTTCCCACAATTCAATCTTTGGAATTTTTAACAAAACAGGATGTATAAGGATATACATCCTGTGATTTCATAAAACTAGCACTGATCGCATTATAGTTTCCTGCACATCACAAGTCACACATCTAAGCCTCATGAAAGAAACCAAAATTATACAGCTACAAGCTGACACAATAAATTTCTAGTTTAAATAACGCATTTTTAAAGCATAACAGAATGTGCAAACTGCCTACCAGTTTAAATTTTTTCTCAGTACTCTCTGAAGCTTCTGCCTCTCGAAGCTCTCGCTCTAGTTTCTCTTCTGCTTTCTTCCACTGAAAATAGATTGAAAAACAAAAAAAATCTAAGAGTATATACCACAGAGTGAAAAAAGCAGAGGCAGAATATGTAAATGTCATAAAACACATACAGTAATACCACATATGGTCTATAAATGCAAATATAAACAAAAGAAGAGAATCATGGACAGGAACTATATACAAACCAAATCAAAGATGGTGTCTCCTGGGAGGAAGGCAGAAGAATGAGACTGGAGAGAGAAACAAAAGAAATTCCTACTCTTTCACCTATGGTTTCCTTCTTTTCCAAAAAAAAAAAATTAAGGTAAATCTATTAATATTTGCTCATTCTGAATGGTGGATATCTGAGATACGCTATCATTTTCTATCATTTCAATTAAAGTTTTTCAAAAAAGAAAAAAAAGAAAGAACATGTTGAACCCAAAAATGATGCCTAGGGTTAAATCACCTATAACATGGGAGCCAGTCACCAAGAATACTTCCCCAACACGTTTATATACAATGCATAAAACCAGATACTATAAAGAAATTCAATAAAAGTTCATTTTTCTTCTACTTCCTAATGCTGTACAACCAGTAAACAACATCTTTTTTTTAACTCTTTTTTTGAGACGGGATCACTCTGTTGCCCAGGCTGGAGTGCAGTGTTACAATGTCAGCTCACTGCAATCTTCACCTCCGCCTGGCCAATTTTTCTATTTTTAGTAGAGACAGGGTTTCATTATGTTGGTCAGGCTGGTCTCGAACTCCTGACCGCGTGATCTGCCCACCTCAATCTCCAAAAGTACTGGGATTACAGGCGTGAGCCATAGTGCCCAGCATAAATGACAATTTCTAAGCTGCCTGAGGCAGAGGAAACTGAGAAATAGTTTCCTTCTCTCATGAGAACTTGTTAAAGAGCTGCCATGTTCTTACTGGTCTTTGTTTCTCCACCACATCTATATACATGCTATTCCTAACAGAGCTATCCAAACAGCATTAGGACAATATGATATAAATAGTTAAAATATTTATCTTCTTTTGTTCACAACTATTAAGTCTATTTTGACATTTCCATCAAGTTTTCAAAATGAAACCCATTCAAAGATGAATATCCCCAGAAATTACTTTTGTTTTTACAAACAACTTGATAACGCTAATAAACTGTTCAGAAATGTTCTGAGATATGATGATAACAGTAACAGTGATGATGGTGGGGGTAGTAACAACTGTTTATAAAGCCTGCCAAGTGTTTTATATACATCATCTCCTTTAAACTGCACAATTAACCTGTAAGGTAGGTACTATTATTTGCCCCATTTCTAAAAAAAAAAAAAAAAAAAAAAAAGAATGTTTCCAAAGTTTCAGCAAATAAACAAGAGGCTGAAATTTCAACCCAAGTTTAAAATATAAACCAATAAACAAGATTCAATTAACAGAAACTCACTTTGCTGCCAACTTGACATGAATGAATCTTTTCTGTTAAGGAAGGAATCTGTGTATCACAATTCTAAATTGATCTAAAAAGCCAAAGTATAGAAGCCAGCATGTCAAAAATATCTTTTCATCTACTGCTCTCCTTGCCAATCATTATCAGTTAAAACTGATATAAGAAAACATTTTTTTGCAGTAACTGGGAAAAGATAAAATTCTCTAAATGATGTATTTCAAAACTTTCATATTTATGATTTAACTATGATTTTTATCTGTGCCTATAATTTTTATCTAACATCAAATGAACAGAAAATTTAAATGAAACAAAAAAGGAAATAAATCAAACCTTTCTCTGCATTCTTGATAGAGTTTTTCTCTTTTCTTTGAAAGTCATAAATTTTTTTGGTTTATTAATGTCTTCTGTATCTTTTTTCACTTCTACTTCCTTGATTCTTAGGCATAAAAATGTTTTTAACATCTAATATTGAAAAAAAAAACACAGATATAGAGCTGAATATTCCTATTACCCTCAAACACTTTACTAGAAAAGTATTTAATAATGTTATTTCCTTCATTCACGCAAAAAAACTTTCAAACATCTTTTATAACATTTTACACAAAGTTCTTTTATCTGTATGCTACATTCAGTAACTTAGAGGACAGGAGCAAACATACAAAAAGTACACTAGCAAATACTAGCTAAATATACAAAACTTTCTTTGCAGTTTAGTTTGAGGAAAAGAGAACACATTATTGGGCACTGGCCAATAGGATGACAAAGAGAAAATAGGCCAGAAAAAGGTTTGGACCAGTATGGGAGAAGAAGATACACAAATTGCTGGGCCCTATTCCCAGAGTTTCTGATTCAGTAGGTCTGAGTTGAGTCCCAGAATTTGCATTCTAATTCCCAGTTGATGCTGTTCCAGGGACAAAATTAAAAACTACGGGTTAAGCCCTTCAAAAATTCAGAAACTAATTTGGAAACTGGTTGTTTTGTGCGATACTGCAACCCTTTCATACTCAAACACTTGGAACAAAAGGGGTTTAAAATGCTACACTTCCCTGAATGAAATCACCTTACTGGCCTCCTGCAGGTACAACAGCATTCCTGCAACAAAACCTTGAAAACTACAGGTTTGTACTATTTTGACGTTCCAATATGCACATTTGGAAGAAAGCTGAGTATTTGGAATTATAGGGCAAAAAGGAACTACTGCAGGCATAAAGGGTGAACCTGAAGTCATTCTAGGTATCAGAAAGATCAACTCTGAATATTCTGTAGGTACTGTATGGTGCTCAAAATATCACCTACCGGCCGGGCACGGTGGCTCACGCCTGTAATCCCAATGAAAAATAACTCTAAATTAAAGGATGTCATTTTTATTCTAGCATCACAAAAGTTAAAGACTTTTCCTATGGCTGAGTTTCTTGTTCAAGGGTTATCTGATTGCTCTACAATTCTGAGTAAAAACACTAAATATGTTCTATTACTTTCATTCAATATTTATAATTCTGGCAATTCAACTGAACGATCAGTTTTAAAAAATAAAAAGGGATCTGATGCCAAAGGAAAACTGTGAAATCTGGAAATAAAACAGTAGAACAGCTTAACACCCAAAACTACATTTCTAAAAACAAATTAAAATATCTAAGACCCCAATGAAGAAAACTATAAAATTTAACTTAGAACATAAAAGAAATCTTAAATAAATGGTGAGATATGATATTCTTGAATAGAAAAAAATCAATTCTGTAAATATTTTAATTCTTCCAAACTAATCAATACATTGAATCAATTCTAATCAGATTCTGTGTGTGGACTATTTTGAGAGAAGGAAGTGAAAAATTGATTCTAAATTGTCTGGAGTAACATACAGAAATAAAGAAGAATATTTTGGAGAAAAAAGAATAGTCATATCTTATCAATTATACCCATTCTGACTAGTATTATTGTGCCAGATAACCAAATGTACTATAGATATAACACAATAATTAAGCAACATTTTATATCAGCAGAAAAAAAGTGATGAAATAACTGGCTGTCAAATTATTTTGAATACATACATAATAATATAAATTTTTAATATGCATTAGACTATACAAAAATATATATTCATTACATAGTAAACAGATATTAAATCTGTACTCATACCACACACACAAAGATGTCAAATGGCTTCAATATTTAAACATAAAAATTAAATTAAAAATCTTAAAGAGACTCTATAAATCTGGATTGAGGAGGCTTAGTGCATAACAAAAATATAGCCTCTAGTATTAGGCTCAATACAAAATTAAAAGGCAGAGTAAAAAAGAGAAAAAATATGCCACCTAGGTAAAAAAGAGTTAATATGCTTACTATGTAATGCAAGCTCCACAAACACATAGTTTTGTTTCTTTTGCTACTATTTTTATTCCCAGGACCTAAAAAAGTACCTGGCACATAGCAGATATTTATTAAAATGAACAGGTACTAAAAAATTATCACAGGTCATTAAGGCAATTGCTTTAAGAGAAAAACAAACAAATAATAAGCATGTAAAAAAAAGTTTATATGTATATACATACACACACACACACACACACATATATATATATATATATACACACACACACACACACACACATATAAACTTTTCACTTACCAGACTAACAAAGATTAAATAGTTACATTCTGAGCAGGTAGTGGGGAACTGACACTCATATCCCTAGCAGGAACACAGTGATAAAATGTTTTTGAAAGACAATTTGAGTTTGTACATGTGGTTATTGTTGGATCCAGCATCTACACTTCAGAAATTTCATTCACAGAATACGTAAACAATATGAAAAAATAATATGGCCAAAATGTTCTCAACAATGACTATGACAGCAAAAATCTAGAAAAAACACAGCTGTTCATCAAGTAAGGGGCTATATATTCACACAACAGAATATCCTGGCAGGCATCAGAAAGTTTGGAATAACCTAATATGTATAAGTTCACCATATAGAAAATGAAAACAGTTCCAGAACAGTTTGCAAAGTATAAGCCATTTTTTATTTTAAAAATAAGAAAACGTTTATGACTATATCTGAAAGAAAAACATCTAGATGGATATATACCAAACTGTTAATAGTATCAAACATTTCAGGAGTTAACATGTTAAACACTTAAGGAGCTTGAATACTTTTTACTTCATACCCATACCCTTATAAAGAATAAACTCCTCATAACAACTGAAAATCAACTTTGTAATTTAAAAACAAATAAAATACAAAGCGAAAAAAGAAAGGCTCACCTCTGGCCTAACTTCATAATTTCTGCCCTTCACAAAACCAGAAATCACTTTAACTACACCGAGAGAAGCTTGGCCTAATTTATCTTGTTTAAAGAGTTTCTTTACAGCTTCACAACACATTTCAGATATCTGAAAAATAAAATGTCACACTTAACCAGTGTTTCTCAACCTTAGCACTACTGACATTTTGGGAAGAGAATTCTTTGTTGTAGGGGGGCTGTTCCAGGATGTTTAAAAGCCTCCGTGGACTTTCTCCACTAGATGCCAGTAGTTGGACTCCATCTCCACCAGTCAACACAATCAAAAATGTATGCAGACATTGCCTAATGTTCCCTGGGGGACAAATTTGCTTCCTGTTGTGAACTACTGCACTAATCTTATGTTCAGCTAATTTTCTTCAGAAAGACAGTGTTTAATAAATTGACATTATTTTACCAATAAATAACTTCGCAAGAATTTTGTAGGGGGAAAAAAAATCACAGTGTTTAATTTTCTGCTAAGGAGGACAGCAATAGCCATTTAGAGCAACTCACCAATTTTGACACGTCATTCATAAGAGGGACAATCAATACGATGATGTTGTTGTGAAAGTTAAAATGAGGTAGTGCCACCAACAGCTCACACAAGCTCTTCACAGCAACTTCTGCCAGTCCTTTGTATGCCTTTAAGGAAACTACATTACTTTTCTTCAGCTTTCTCTGCTTCCAATCTAATCAAAAGATAATGTAGTTACTTTACTCATTGGTCAAAAGTTAAAAGAACTGGCTTTCTTTTACAATCAATGTACATCTTAAGACATATAAACACACAAACACACACTCCCCCTTAAAAAAAGACTTCCAAGTGCTTAGGAAAGATCCAATATGGAGGCTGCTAATTGCCACATAAAGTCAGCAACTGAGAATTTAAAATATGGCTAGTCCAAATTAAGATATGCTGTAAGTATAAAATACACACAGATTTAAACTTAGTACTAAAAAAAATAAGAATGTAAGATACCTCGTTAATTTTTAAAATTGATTACACATTGAAATGATAATCTGAATATATACAATGTACTATTAAAATTAATTTCATTGCTTTTTAGTGTGTCTGCATTTTTTTTAAATTACATTAAGTGGCTCCTAGGTATAGTTCTATCAGACAGCGATGATTACACAAAGCTCCCAAGAACTTTCCCAACAGTTCAGAAATTCAACAAATAAAAGCCCCAGGACTTATCACTGGAAAAATAAATGCTAATAGGGGTAGAGCTGGAACACCAGAACACAGAAGCAGTATCCACACTACCCACCCCCATCCACCCACTATACTCCACCACTGTTACCTTTTATTAGGCCAGTGGGATGCAGCAGTCCTGTTCCAGCTGACAGCAATGGGTAATCCTTAGTAAATAAGCTGGGTAAATGAGCCAATTAGGCCAAATGAAAGCACCTGGCCTAGGCAACAAACTATCTTCCCATTCCTACCCCTATTTTTTCTTTTCTGAAGAAAAAGAGTTTAAGACTTTATCATGCTCATCGCACATAACTCAAGAGTAAAGTTATGGGGCGAAAAAAAAGAGCTTATCAGCCAAATAACTGACTCAAAGCATGCAAATATCCATTTCTAGTTATCCTTCTATTTATTTATTCATTTCATTTGAGACAGGGTCTCACTCTATTGCCCACGGTACAGTGCAGTGGCATAATCAAAGCTCATTGGAAGCTCAAACTTCTGGGCTCAAGTGATCCTCTCAGCTCAGATCTCGAATAGTTGGGACTCTATAGGTATAGATCATCATGCCTGATTAATTTTTGTTTTTTTTTTTTGAGAGACAGGGGTCTCACTACACTCCCCAGGCTGGTCTCAAACTCCTGGCTTGGAGCAATCCTCTTGCCTCGGCCTCCAAAAGCATTGGGGTTACAGGTGTGACCCATCATGCCTGGCCTCTAGTTATCCTTCTTTCCTGACTACCTTGCCTCCAAATAAAAAAAACAGCAGACTAAATCCCAACTGTTCATAACAATGAATTTTGTTGAATGCATTGTAGTCAACAAAAATACAACTACTAAGTAAAGAACTGCAGCAACAATACTAATAGTTGATAAAATATATTGTGTAGTACATGCTAGGCACCGTTTCAAGCACCTTCTATCTACAAACTCAGTTACTTCCTACAATACTGGGAGGTAAGTACTGTAATTATTTCCATTTTATAGACAGGAAAAGTGAGACATAGAAAGACTTTGTAATTTTTTGCCAGGCGTGGTGGCTCATGCCTGTAATCCCAACACTTTGGGAGGCCAAGGCAGGTGGATCACAAGGTCAGGAGTTCAAGACCAGCCTGGCCAATATGGTGAAACCCAGTCTCTACTAAAAATACAAAAATTAGCTGGGTGTGATGGTGTGTGCCTGTAGTCCCAGCTACTCGGGAGGCTGAGGGAGGAGAACTGCTTGAACCTAGGAGGTGGAGGTTGCAGTGAGCCAAGATTACGCAACTGTACTCCAGCCTAAGTGACAGAGTGAGACACCATCTCAAAAAAAAAAAAAAAAACTATGTAATTTTCTCATCACATAGGTAGTATGTGGTGGAGCCAGAATTTGAGCCAGGAAGTCTGACCCTAGATTCTGCTCCTGACTATGCCTGCCTATCACTACACAACACAGAACACTGTACAGAATTCACTTTCATCATCAAGGCTAAGTATGTTACATACTTTTAAGATATGTTTAATATACCTTTAACCATTTGTTCCAGATTTTCCAAATAAAATTTGTATTGGCTAACCAGGCCTTCTTCAAATTCTCTTAACTTCTGGGTTTCTTTTCGGATCTGAAAATACCAAAAAGGTCAATCATTTTTTTAAGTCAGAATATTAAAACCCCAAAGTTAGCATAAAATATGGGTGTCTAGTATACAGCCAGTGCTATTTAAAAAAAAAAAAAAATGCAGCAGTCATTTGGGCCAAGCATGGTGGCTCATGCCTATAATCCCAGCACTTTGGGAGGCCAAGGCAGGTGGACCACCTGAGGTCAGGCGTTTGAGACCAGCCCAGCCAACATGGGGAAACCCCATCTCTACTAAAAACACAACAATTAGCTAGCCAGGGTGGCATGCACTTGTAATTCCAGCTACTTGGGATGCTGAGGCTTGAACCTGGAAGACAGAAGTTGCAGCGGGCAGAAATTGTGCCACTGTACTCCAGTCTGGGTGACAGAGCAAAACTCTGCCTCAAAAAAAAGTCTATCTCTCCAAAATTTGTAGTTATTTTAGATGTAATTATATCTAGCGATCTAGAATTACCTTAGTAGATTTTTCTACTTGTGTGAGGGGACGGATTTTATATGAAGGTGTAATATCTTTAAATAATTCCATCAGAGAAACAATGACCAGCTTTCGAACAGTAACAGCCACATCAGGATCTTGTTCCATCAGCATAGAACGTAATTCTTTCAGTTTTTTAATCTGTTAAAGAAATAGCTTATAAAGCTGTAGAAATCATGGTAAAACAATTATGAACAAAAGACAACAGCCCCACATCCAGAAAAATAAGCAGAATTCATATATAATGACTCCAAGTCTAGTCAAGCCAAACCAAACTCCAGACACTGCTCACTTTACCAAGAGATAAGTCACTAAAGTTATAAGGTAATGTGTGTTAGTCCACTCTTGTGTTGCTAGAAATGCCTGAGACTGGGTAATTTAGAAAGAAACAAAGTTTATTATGGCTTATAGTTCTGCAGACTGTAGAGGAAGCATGGTGCCAGCATCCACTCCAAGTGAGGCCTCAGGAAACTTACAATCAAGGCAGAAGACAAATGGGGAGCCAGAATGTCATAGGAAAGATGGGGAAAGTGCTAGGCTCTTTTAAACAACCAGCTCTCACATGAACTACCATAGTGAGAACTCACTCATTACCACAAGGATGTAACCAAGCCATTCATGAGGGGTCCACCAGGCCTACCTCCAACATCAGAGGTCACATTTCAACATAAGATTTGGAGGGGACACACATCCAAACTATATCAGTAATTATATTTTGGTTGTTAGAAAAATAGACCTCAAAAAATTAGTTTAACTTTGTTATTTAGCTGTTTTGGGAAATTCTTTTTTGCTGGGTTTTCCTAAAGTACTTGTGTCCCATTTTTCTAAAAACACTTTTCAAAATATACTAAAATTTATATAATCAAATATATCAACCATACACATGAATTAATCGGGAATTACATATAATATAGCCACATTAACTTAAGCTTCAAAGATAATTTTTATGATGCAAAAGGTGGTTTCAACTAACCTGATTGCTTTGATAAACTACTACTGCCTACTGGAGCAGTATCTTGAGACGCAAAGCTCTGGCTAGTTAACAATGTTTACCATAGCTGGAAGTAGGACAAATATGCCACCACCTATTTGCTATCCCTAAACTGTGTGACATGAGCACATGTTCCTGAGTAGATCTGGGTTCCAATTTAGTGGCTGTTAAAATCTGCAACAAATCAGGGATTTTGATGGTCCCCTCTCCCAACTCAGAAGCTATTGCTGCCTCCAGACGCTCTCAAGATGGCGACCTCTCTGGGTTCCAACACCTACAACAGGCAGAACGGGGAAGACGCAGACTTCCCCATTATGTGCCAGATATGTCTTGGAGAAAACCCATATATCCAAATGACCAAAGAAAAGTATGGGAAGGAATGCAAAATCTGTGCCAGGCCATTCACAGTGTTTCGCTGGTGCCCTGGAGTCCGTATGCATTTCAAGAAGACTGAGGTGTGCCAGACCTGCAGTAAATTGAAGAATGTCTGTCAGACCTGCCTCTTAGACCTAGAGTATGTCCTGCCCATCCAGGTTCGTGATGCAGGATTGTCTTTTAAAGATGACATGCCAAAGTCAGATGTCAACAAAGAGTACTATACACAGAATATGGAGAGAGAGATTTCTAACTCTGATGGAATATGGCCAGTTGGCATGCTGGGGAAAGCCACATCCACCAGCGACATGCTGCTCAAACTGGCCCGGACCACACCCTACTACAAAAGGAAGCGACCCCACATTTGCTCCTTCTGGGTGAAAGGAGAGTGTAAGAGAGGAGAGGAATGTCCATACAGACATGAGAAGCCTACAGATCCAGATGACCCCCTTGCTGATCAGAATATTAAAGATCAATACTACGGAATCAATGATCCTGTAGCTGACAAGCTTCTAAAGCGGGCTTCAACAATGCCTCGGCTGGACCCACCAGAGGATAAAACTATCACCACACTATATGTTAGTGGTCTGGGTGATACTATTACTGAGACAGATTTAAGAAATCATTTCTACCAGTTCGGAGAGATGTGGACGATCACTGTTGTGCAAAGACAGCAGTGTGCTTTACCACAAGGCAGGCTGCAGAAGTGGCTGCTGAGAAGTCCTTTAGTAAGGTGACTGTAAATGGCCACAGACTGAATGTGAAATGGAGAAGATCAAGCAGCCAGAGCAAAAGAAAAAGAGAAAGATGGAACCATAGACTCTGGGATCAAACTGGAACCGGTTTCAGGATTGCCAGGAGCTCTTCCTCCTCCTCCTGCGGCAGAAGCAGCAGCCTCAGCCAATTACTTCAACTTGCTCCCAAGCGGTCCTCCAGCTGTGGTGAACATTGCCCTGCCACTACCCCCTGGTATTGCCCCACCCCCACCACGAGGTTTTGGGTCACACATGTTCCACCAAAAGGGACACCCCTCCTCTCCTTTCATGAGGGCTCCAGGACCAATCCACTATCCTTCTCAGGATCCTCAGCGGATGGGAGCTTATGCTGGAAAACACAGCAGTCCCTAGCATCTTGTCACCATTCTGGGGCTCTGTGGAAGAAAGGGCACTTAAAAATCCCAGTACATCTTGGAATAAATGTATTTTTCCTTCCCTTGTAGCTTCCATGGTAGCTGAATGTGCTCAGATGTGGGCAGTCAGAGACTGACAGCCATGCTTTCTGACACACGTTCAGAGGATCAGTGTACCGCAAATAAGCTGCCATTAACACATCTGGTTACTGCTATAACACGACTAATAAAACCTAACGCCTGTTCCCCTTACCCGTGTTGGGGACAAGCAGATGAGTGAATTGGAATGTCTAGTGGAGTTACCACCCCAATTACATGTTCATTTTGTATATTTTTTGGGTGGGAGAAAAACTGACCTGGTTAAAAAAAACCTTTGAACATTTTTGTGTCCATTGGGTGTTTTCCTTTTTATCATCTGAAAAAAAAAGATTACTAGTACTAATCATTGTAGTGGCCTAAGTGTGACACTTTTGTAGTCACACCCTCAGAAAGATGAGTAGAAACCAGCACCAGTGCAGTCCAGATTTTTTCTTACCTTTTCCTCATTTATTCCTAAAAGAATCTGACCATTTTATGTCTCCACGGCCCAAAAAAAGAAAAAAGAAAAATTCCTTTTTATTACTGTCACCTGGATGGAAACAGAAAATTTCATGGAGCTGTGTACCATTGAAGAAACCTGGTGTCTGGCATGAAGTTACTGTAAAGAACTTCCTATAAAACACGTACTTTAACGAACTGAAATGAAAAGCATTGGAGTGTTTGAATGAAAGACTTGGGACCTTCTGCTAAGAATCCGATGGTCCTCAGCATTCACCTCAGTGTCTCATTGCCATCTCTGCTTCTGTTTGGTCTTAGAGTGTTTGGATATAACTGAACTGTAGATGGTAAAGGAAATTTGATGTGTTTTTAGTTTTTAAATAATTAAAACGGTCAATTTAAAAAAAAAAAAAATCTGCAACCAATCACTTGGGTTTTTTAAGGCTCAATTTTCCAGCTGTAAAATTAGAACAACTCTTATGCCTATGGTCTTGCAATGATTAAATGAGAGAACACAAATAAGAAATATTCCAAATCTCTCTTCCCTGATTCTGCTCTAGATCTTCCCCTCACTTTATTAGAAAAGAACAAGTACTACTCTAAAGCATTCCCACATGAAATTTGTTTCCATAAATTGTAAGCTATAATATCATTCAATAAACAAATACTTGTTATAATAGTATGCTGGGGACACCAATGTAACAATAACAACAGTATCATTTTATATGACTTCACATATATTTCATCATATAATCCTCACCACAAAGTTTTGGAAAAAAAAACACTATTCTCTTTTAGAGATGAGAGTCTTGGATAAATAACTTACCCAAAGTCTCAAAGACAGTACTTATCAGGGCCAAGATTAAATCTAAGATTTCTCAAGTTCATGTGTTATAACTATCACTACTTTCACCACTATACACATGGTACAATAACACTTTAATTTTGGCTCTAGTTCACTTAAAATATCTTCACCTTACAATTATTCTTGAAATAATTTCATACACTTCTCTGTAGCATGCTTTCTAAAAACTCCACAGGTAAGTCAAGCAAATTTGCAAGCAGGTTCCTCCTCCCTAATACAACTTTATAGACTTAAACATTTTTAGTTATAACATGTCCAATATTTTCACATATGAAGATGAGGAGAATAAGATTCAGAGAGCTTAAGTAATTTTTCTAGGATTACAAAATAAATTAAGTTCAGACATACCATTAAGCTAAGATTCCGTCTACTCTCTTACTCTAACCCAGCTACTATGTTTAGTTAATGCTTTTCCTTTTAGTGAGTGCTAACAGGTAACAAGAGAATCTTAACATATTAGGCATTTTACACCACACCTAATTTAAAAAGCCTAAAGAAATTAATACTACCTACATTACTTTCTGGATCTGATAATATGGCAGATGCCAAGGCTGCAATATGCATCTTCTTCTCCTGTAGTTTCTTCTTTCTCTCAATCAAATGTTCTTCTACGGTCAGCTCTCGAATAGGATCTTCAATGATCTCTAAAACAGATTAGATGTTCCCTTACATAGTATCCAAGAATCTTAATAATTTTCTACAGTATCCTCTACTTACAAGTATCCAAGAATCTTAATAATTTTTTACAGTAATAATGATGATAGCTAAGAATTTTGGATTTATTACTATACATCATCTTCTCAACAATAATACAGATACTATCATTACACTCATTTTATAGATAAGAAAACTGAAGCAAAGGAAGAGAAAATAACTTGGCTAAGCTCACAAACCAAAGTGAAATAGGATTCAAACTCAGGCAGTGTGATTCTAGAGCTCTTTTTTTTTTTTTTTTTTTTTTTTTTTTTGAGACAGGGTCTCGCTTGGTCACCTAGGCTGGAGCACATACAGTGGCACTATGCAGCCTCCACCTCCCAGACTCAAGAGATCCTCCTGCCTCAGCCTCCCAAAGTGCTGGGATTACAGACATGAGCCAGTACAATCAGCCTAGAGCTCATATTCTCAGCTTCTGTTAAGAAGCCCAGAATAATTCATATTATTTAAGAAATAGGATAATCTGATTTAGTTTTTTAAGTACAGAATATTCTCCTTTGTTTTCAACACTATATATTACTTTACACAAACTAATAAATACTACCTAGCTTTGGGCTACAGAAAACATGTCCACCTTAGAAAATTCATAGGGAACTAGATCTAATCAACACTAACAATTTGTAATGGTTTTATGACAGGTCTCTGAAAACAGTTAAACAGTTTACCTGTAATTCGTTTTTGCTATTAATGAGGTCTGCTAAGCGAAAGTAAAATTTAACCATACTGTTCTGTCACAAATTCCAAACTATTATAGTTTCAAACAATAAGATGCATTATCAGTTCAACTTTGATTAAACTGTCCTAGATATCAGAAACTGACATTCAATTATATGAAATATATACAATTATAATTGCACTAAAAACAAACCAAAATGACTTCAAACTACAGAATCGCTTTTGTAATTTGAAGCTAAAAGGTTATTTGTAAGTAGGTCCTTCTCTAACAATTAAAAGAAATTCAGAACAGTAATAATTAACAAGACACTTCATGTATGCCTAGACATTACAAATATAACTGTGTAAATTTTTCCATAATAAAAAACAAAGAATCTATTAATAATTCCACAAGGTGAAGCCTTCAAATGTGGAAAAATGTTCAAAATGACCTTGAAATGAGCAGTACTCCAAAACACACCTTCCAGATTTTACCTAAAATTAACTCACATTTACTATTATGCAAAAAATGTAATTCTCGATAAACAATTTAGTAACTGTAAAGACATATCTTATTACCTTCCTCAAGTTCCCTCGCTGCTTCTTGATCCTCTTCATCTTTGTTACTATCAGTAACTACATGGAAAACGTGTATTAAAACTGTGATACATACTTAAGTGGTAAAACTGTAAAGAAATGCAAGTAAGTGATTACAGTAAAACTCAGGATAGCAATTACTTTTATGGGGAGAGAGCAATTAGTGATTGAGGTGAGCACAAGGAAGGTTTCTGGAAGCTAGTAGTATTTTCTTTCTTGGGTGGATGGTAGTTTTATTAGTATGTGCGTTGTTATAAACCATGTAACTTCACATCTTTCCTGCCTGAACTTTTCTATGTTTTATTTCACATACAAAGAAAGATACATTAGAAAAAGCTAACCAAGAATAGTTAATATGCTTTAATTTTAGAAACAAAATTTAGTGAAAAGAAAATCACCTGAACCTTGTAGTGTCAGTTGTCCTCACTGTACAAATTGATACCTGAGATAATCATCTATAATTCTGATCCGAATCATCAAGCTTGCTATAAGACTAATTGAAGATACAGGCAAAATCAAAGTAAAATTAAACTTTGAGTGGAAAAAAAACGTTATCAGCGAGGGGCTAAAAGTTCAACTAGATTCACCTGGCTTCTCTCTAGTCTGTGGGATTATACCACTTTTATCTTTGATAGGAAGCAAGTGAATCAGTTCCTTCTCTGGTGCAGTTTGCAGAGTTCTTGGTATTTTTTCATATTTATCTATAATGCGTTCATGCTTCCGTTTCTTCGCATGAACAGGCTCACTGCAGGGAGAAAGAAAGATCAATTTTCAGTCTTAATAGATTTAAAGAGGTATCTAGAGACCTATCATTTCAAAAGTACAGAAAAATAAACCACCAGCCAACCTTCAATAAGTATACATATATTAGCACTTAGACCAGTGCCTGTCACATAGCAGGCACTCAAACAGCAAATGAATAAATGAAGGTAAGAGCCTAACACACACACACTCAAACTTTGGCTACATCCAGTTCTCCCTCTTGATGCGAAATAAAGGTGAAAGTTACAGCAGATTCTTTTTGAAGAACAGTCCACAGAACCAAGTGTGACTCTTACTTTCCCAAAATCTTTAGAGTGTAGCATAGCCTTTGGAGTTCAAAAGATCCAATTTTAAATTCCAGATACTTGTGACTGCAAGGAAGAGTCAGTTCCTCTCTGGAAATGGGAATAAGACCTACCTAGCAGGTTAATGAGGATTAAGTGAGATCGTAGCCATAAAGAACTCAGGACTGTTCTGCCAATGCCTCAAACTAAGAACATTCTTTCCCCATTCACTCTACTTCACTATTCAGACTCAAAAAAAAGATGTACATTAAATGAAATCAGCTTGTCTTACACATGAACTTCCTTTACTTAGGAAATAAGCTAAGTAATACTTTATTCTTTGTAAACACTGTGCTCAAAGGTGAATACCTTGAACCACTTAAGTGAAATTCAGAACTAAGTTTTTAACACTAAGTGGATATGAATGATTATAACCCAAATGAAGTATTACCTAGAAGAAAGATCTCTTGTTAAAAAAGATGGTCTTTGTCCTAAGTCCTTCATTAACTGTAAGTCATCTTCATCCATCATATCTAAAGGAAGGGCTTCTTCTTCCTCTTCTTCCCTCTCAATCCTTTTACCTATACCACACAAAAAAAAAAGAAAAATTAGAAACAAGTATCAGAGATGTAGAACTCTCTGTACTTTGGGTCTACAACAGGAAAAGTTTACGCTTTCTGAAGCAATCCTCCCACTCCCGCTTCCCAAAGTGCTGGGATTATAGGCGTGAGCCATGGCCCCCAGCTGAGCCAGTTATTTCTAATGGAAGCACTACCGACATGCTAGGCAAACAATTCTTTGTCCTACTGAAGTGTTCTGAGCTTGGAAAAAAAAAATGCTAGCATCTCTGACTCCTGCAACCTAAATGCCAATAGCATTCCCAGGTTATTGTAACAACCAAAAACTAAATGTCTCCACACACTCTAAAATGGCTTTCAGGACATCTGAGAACCAGTGACTTAGCCCCTCAGCTCCTTCTCATCTCCAGTTACTTTCACGTTGTATTCCATTTCAGCCAGCCTCTACAATAGCCACATTCCAAACCCTGGTGCTCACCCCTCTCTCTGACCACAGCTTTTGTCCTTCCAGCTCCCACTCAGTTACTTCCACAGCACTTCTTCCTTAACCAATTACAGACTTTCAATCCACTGACTACTAAACTTTCTATCAGTGTGTTCACTCCCTCACTTAGATTGCAAGATTATCACTTCAACCACACTCTAGCCAATATCCTCAACTATTTTTCTTTTAACACTTCAGGCACTCACATCTAACAAAATTCCAACTACAGATCATTCTAACTTCTCTTTTTGCTCATTCTCTGTGTCTTGTTCTCTTTCTCTATCTCCTTTTTTTTAATTATTATTTTAAAAAAAAAGTCAACTAAGTGCCAGGCACAGCTCTAAGTGCTGAAAATTCAACTATAAATAAAACAATCTTAGCATCTTTCCTAATAGAACTGACAATTCTTCTTGACCCATTAGAACTAGTAAATCTTGACTGGGTGCAGTGGCTCACACCTGTAATCCTAGCACTTTGGGAGGCCAAGATGGGTGGATTGCTTGAGGCCAAAAGTTCAAAACCAGCCTGGCCAACGTGGTGAAACCCCATCTCTACTAAAAATACAAAAAATTAGACAAGCGTGGTGGCACATGCCTGTAATCTCAGCTACCTGTGAGGCTAAGGCAGGAGAATCGCTTGAACCCAGGAGGTAGAGGTTGCAGTGAGCGGAAATCACTCCATGGAACTCCAGCCTAGGCAACAAGAGCGAAACTCTGTATCAAAAAAAAACAAAACCTAGTAAATCTTGCTATATAAATATACATGCTGCATAGAATGGCACTCCCATCTACTTTAAATAAGCCTTCTAAATGTAATAATCCCATTTAAAATAAAAATCGGTAAAAGACACGAATAGACATTTCTCAAAAGAAGGCATGCAATGGCAAAAGGTATATGAAAAGGTGCTCAGTAACAGTGATCACCAGGGAAATGCACATCAAAATTACAATGAGATATCTAACCCTAGTTAAAATGCTTTTATCCAAAAGACAGGCAATAACAATGCTAGCAAGGATGTAGAGAAAAGGGTACCCTCATACACTGTTGGTAGGGATGTAAATTGGCACAACCACTATGGAGAAAAGTTTGGAAGTTCCTCAAAAAACTAAAATTAAAAATAGAACTACTATATAATCCAGCAGTCCCGCCCACTACTATGCATGTATCCAAAAAAAGGAAATCAGTATACTGAACAGATATCTGCACTCCCATGTTTATTCAGCACTATCCACAAGAGCCAAGATTTGGAAACAACCTAAGTGTTCATCAAAAAATGAATGGATAAAGAAAATATGGTACATGTACACAATGGAGTATTCAGCCATAAAAAAGAATGAGGTTCTGTGTGCAACAACATGGATGAAACTTAAGGCCATTATGCTAAGTTAAATAAGCCAGCACAGAAAGACAAATTTCCAACTTCTCACTTATTTGTGGTGGTCAAAAATTAAAACAAATGATGATACCATTGGCTGGGAAGGGTAGTTGCAGGTAGGAGTAGGGATGGTTAATGGGTACAAAAATAGATAGAATAAATGAGATCCAGTATTTGATAGATAGGGTGACTACAGCCAACAATAATTTATTGTATGTTTTAAAATAACAAAAAAGTATAATTGGAATGTAACTAAGATAAATGCTTGAGGTGATGGATATTCCATTTTCCCTAATGTGATTATTATGCATTGGATGCATGTATCAAAGTATCTCACGTATCCCATAAATATATAAACCTACTATATACCCACAAAAATTAGAAAAAAAAACTTTAGCTGGGTGCAGTGGCTCACCCTTGCAATCCCAGCACTTTCTGAGGCTGAAGCAGGAGGATTGCACCTGAGCCCAGGAGGGCAAGGCTGTAATGAGCTGTTTATGCACACTGCACTCCAGCCTGGGTGACAGAGCAAGGCCCTATTAAATATATTTTTTTTTAATTTAATTTAAAAAAGATGGAGCCGGGAAGACTAAATAATTACCTAATAATTAGACACAGTCAAATAAGAATACCCTAAAAGTACCACCTTGGCAATACTGTGAAGAACGAACCAGAGACAAGCAAAGTTCTTACCTTACCTAATTGCTAATGAATGGGAAAGTGGCAGCACTGGCACACTGCGCAACATGTATGTATGCGGGTACTTTCAGTTTGTTTTCCCAAGTACCACATCTTCAGATCTGCTTTCTAGACAAACTACAAGCAGAAGCTTGAACGAATACTGTACTGAAATGTTTTCTCACACTGACTGATAAAGCATACATGCTTTATAGCAGTCCTATAGGACTACTATCCTTACCCATTCTAGGAAGATCTGAGAAGAAAAGTGATTCCCAGAAGGGAAAGTTATTTCCATGAAGAACACTTCAGAATAAATCAATGGAAACCAGAGCACATGGATGTTTTCACAATTACCTGGTTGCTTTTCCCTTGGGTCCTCCAGTGGAATGGGTTTCTTAGACACAGCATCTTTCACAGCTTGCCTTAGTTTCCTCTGTTCTTTTCGGTACTTCTTGAGAGTGCTTTGTTGTTTAAACTGCTTATTTTTTAGCTTGTTTTCAAGTTTGACTTTACTAGTTTTTATCAACTTGCGGAAGCTTGGAATCTGTTTTTTATTTCTTCTCTAGAAAACAACAGAAGAAATACTACATACCCAGAAACTTACTTTTTCTTTTTTTTTTTTTTGAGACAGAGTCTCACTCTGCGTCCCCAGGCCCCAGGCTGGAGTGCAGTGGTGCGACCTCAGCTCACTGCAACCTCTGCCTCCCGGGTTCAAGCAATTCTCCTGCCTCAGCCTCCTGAGTAGCTGGGACTACAGGCACGTGCCACCACGCCCAGCTAATTTTTTTGTATTTTTAGTAAGAGGGGTTTCACCATGTTGGCCAGAATGGTCTCGATCTCTTGTCTTCATGATCTGCCCGCCTCGGCCTCCCAAAGTTCTGGGATTACAGGCGTGAGCCACCACGCCTGGCCCAGAAACTTACTTTTAAAGTCAGGTTAAAGAGAACTGATTATAAATTTCATCACATCAATTCCACAGTTTTAATGTCTCACTGCCATGGACTTGCAATATAAGAGCTAAAACCAAACGATGGCTTTAATGCTACAGAGGAGTGCTATAGCATAAGTTATTCAACCTAGGGTCTTTCTGTGACCCTAATCCACAGCAACTCAAAGGGGTCTACGATCCTCCAAAAGGTTAAGAACCACTGGTATACTAGTGCTAAGTGGCTAATCAGGGTTAGTTTACTACAGGTTAGTTAAACACCTGTAGTTTAACACATTCAACGCAAAATGCTGGCTGTCTTTAATAAAACTTAATTTACGATTTTGCCATTTACGAAGTGCTCCAACAAATGACCTCCAACAGCCTAGTTGAGTACTGACTGCTATTATCTTCATATTACTGATGAAGTTGCCAAAGACCCCTAAACTAAGGAGGGCAAAACTGAATTCGGATCCTTGAATTCCACTTCTCTTGCTGGTGACTCCTCATTCAGAAATCCCAAAGCTAGTCCTGAATCCCAGGACTACCTCTAATTCTCTGTGAGAACCAGAGCAAATCACTTGCTTTTCTATCTCTTTACCCTTTATAAGTACCGTGACTCACATCATAAACTCGCTGAGGGACAGGACCCTGCTTCTCACTTGCGAAAAACGAGTTCGAAAGATGGTCTTGAAGAATCCTTCAAAGTCTGAAATCCCACGGATGCAAAACTCCGTGCCTGTCTCTTCGTGATACCCTGAAGTCGTGCGCGCACACAGTGGGTAACCAAGCATGAGCTCGGCGTAACGACTGGAAAGCCCCCAATCTAAACCACCACCTCCCAAGACAAGGGTGAAACGCGCTTTTCTAAAAGCTGACTCGGGCAGCGACTCTAACACCCGGAAGGGCCCCAGGCCGCGGGGACCAGGCTTTTGAGAACACTTACCACCTTCATCCTTAGGCCTTAAAGGAGTCCAGCCAGACAAGTTCACCAGAGGCAGGTTTAATACCGAAATCCCGTGGAATGACACACGCGCCGAAGCCACTGCACTTCCCGAGCCGGAAGTGACCTTCAGCCCCACCCAATCCTCCGCCGCCGGAAGTGAGGGCGGGACTTCCGTAGGGAGGTTCGGGCTCGCGCCCTCTCGCGGTGAAGTCTCGCGGCCCCGGGCCGGTTGCGCCTCGGCGTGCGCTCGCCGACTGGCACACGCAAAGTACAGAGGGCCGTTGGGGCTGAAGGTGGGAGGCCGGTCGGAAGCGGCGGCCCCTTAAAAAGTTCGCAGAGTATAATTATTTGACTCTCGCCCCGTTTATTTCTTTTAATGGGAAATCGGGCTCCTCCTCTCAGAGTGAGAGGACTTGGTTTTTTCAGTTAGCTCACTGCATTTTGTGCCTCTCCTCACGTTGCTTATCTCATTGTTACAGATGATTTTCGTAGTCCTTTTCCTCCATACAGTCCTGAGGGCAGAAAGAAGCTTATTTCTTTTGTGTAATGCGTGTCCCTCGACGGACATTCTGGGCGTGTTGTAGAAGGGCGAATGATTTCTCATCACCCACAGTCACTTAAAAGTCTGATTCTCAAATTACAAAAATTAAAATTAAAAAACAAACCTCTGTGATTCTTAGTGTTTTATTTTGCAATATTTGCTTTAATTTTAACCATTGTCTGATAAAGAACTGTATCCAGGCTGGGCACAGTGGTTCACACCAGTAATAACACTGGGAGACTGAGGCTGGTGGATCACCTGAGGTCAGGAGTTCAAGACCAGCCTGGCCAAGATGGTGAAACCCTGCCCCTACTAAAAATACAAAAATCAGCCAGACATGAGGGCAGGCGCCTGTAATCCCAGCTACTCAGGAGGCTGAGGCAGGAAAGTTGCTTGAACCCAAGAGGTGGAGGTTGCAGTGAGCCGAGATAACGCTAGGGCACTCCGGCCTGGGCAACAACAGCAAGACCCCATCTCAAAAAAAAACAAAAACAAAAACAAAAAAACTGTATCTGCATTTCAGTATCTTCCAGCTTTAAGTAAATTCTACTGTCTGCTTAGTAATTTCACCAAAGTCATTAATTTTAACAGGAAGCTTTATGCATTGCAGGAATAAGAATATCAAAATGTTTGTCTCTCAAAGACTTCTTTTTCTCAATAAATTTAAGCATTCCACTTCAAGTTTTTTGTGGAGCCTGAACATGTGGGAAAAGCCAGCAGCACTGCTCAAAGAGTTCTAAGCCCCTTGGGTAGTGTTGCTCTTAGAGAGACTGAGAAAAAAAGTACCAATTTCCTGATCCCACCACAAAGACCAAGAGCTCCATCTGGCACTCTTCTTTCAACCTGCCTTCCAACTTCTTCCTTGATCTGTCTCCTTCCACACAGTGTCAGAAACAGCAGAGCTTGTCCCAATGGAGTATTACCTCATCAAACAAATGGAAAACATCAGCCTGTGCTCTTTCCAAATGCCTGAATTCCCTCCCAAGCATATCAACATATCTACAGTCACTCCCATCCTTTCAGCCTTCCTTCCAGTCTCCAAGGATGAGGCATCCCCATTCCAGTTCAAAACCAACTCCTCCCAGCTTCATCAGATTCTTGTATCATTAATTATCCCTTCTTTCCTGTGTTCTTTCCCTCCCTAATAGATCTTTCCCCTCAGCTTATAAACATGTTCAAATCTCTACCATTTTTAAGATTTTTTTTCTAATAAGCTTATCTCCCTTTAATTGCTCTTTTATATGCCTCTTTTCCGACTTGTCCCTACTTCCAGAAAAAAGTATTCTTAGTGTCTTCACTTTCTCTTCTCTGTTATCATAACCCAGTCCTGTGCTAGCATTTTTTTTAAATATAAGATTGCCTTTTTTCTCTCTCTCTGTTGCCCAGGCTAGAGTGCAGTGGCACATCTCAGCTCACTGCAGCCTCAACCCCCCAGGGTCAAGTGATCCTCTACTTCAGTCTCCTAAGTACCTGAAACCAGATACACACCACTATGCCCGGCCAATTTATATTATTTGTAGAGATTTGGTCTTGCTATATTGCCTAAGCTGGTGTCAAACTCCTGGACTCAAGCAGTCCTCCCACCTGAGCCTCCCAAAGTGCTGGGATTACAGGCATGAGCCACCACACCCAGTGTGTGCTAGCATATTTAAGAATTGTGTCATACTCTTGGCCCATTTTAAGTTTACAATCAACTAAAATCTCTGGATCATCTTAAAACAATTGTTGCCAAGCTAAATCTCTTCTATCTTGAATTTGAGCAGTCTGCTGTTTGAAAATACTCAAAAATGGAAGTTTACATGATTCCTTTTAATTCCATTTAGTCTTGCTGCTTCTTAATTCTGTTATATCTGTCTTTGTGTCATCTCTTCTTCACTCAATCCACTGCCAAGCCCCATTTGGACACCAGAGCCTCTTAGATCCCTTAGAGCTTTCCTGGACACTTGAGCTGATAAGGGTCACTGGGCTTTCCCAAACTAGTATCATGGGGATTGTACCTGGAGATTTCTATTAGCCCTTTTGGGAAGTCTGTTAAGAACTTAACTGGCTTTGGTCACCAAGAACCTCCAAATTGTTGTGAGTTTTTTCTAATTGTGTGTGGAATTACATTACCTCTTTCTCATTTAACCCCACTAGATCTGTCTGCTGCCTTTGATACTACGCATTATCTCCCTTCACACTTTAGAATGTTGACTCCCTTGGTTCCCTAATAGCCTCTTCCCCGCGTTCTCCTCTTACCTCCATTTCCTCCTCCTTATGCCTCTTCAATGTAGGTGACTCTCTGGATTTACTCTTGGCCCACTTGTCTACTATACTTCTCACCGTACTTGCTCTTCCAGCATGATTTCATTCATCTATCTATTACAGAGATTTTGTCCAGCCCATACTTCTCCCGCCAAGCTTCATTCTTGTAGCACCTGACTCCTGGACAGCTCTACCTGCTAACCATGGGACTTCACATCACCATGTTCAAAAGAACATTTTTTTTACTTGTACCTTTTCTAACATTCCCTATTTCTTTCTTTTACCCACAGCAAGAATCCCAATACTCCAGAGATCTTTGTCAATAAGCCAGGGCTTTCTTGGCCATTTACCATATTATAATTAATCCATTTTATATAAACAAACACTTTTGAAAACTGTCACTAAGTGGACATGGAATTATAAGGTTTCTTTTTTCCAGTACCACAGGATTATTTACGTAAGTTATAATAAGGGACTATATGAATGTTTGCCACTTTGTAATATGTGTTTGTTGATGGAAGAAGCCCACACCTAAGTAACACAAATTAGAAAATAAATGTAATTGGATGTTATTACTGTCAGTCATCTTAGACATAAAAAAGGCAGGCAGGCTGCCTTACAGCTCACCAACAGGGGACCTGTGGAAATTAGAAAAAGCTTCCATTTCCTCAAGACACTTTACTGTCATAGTCCAAAAATAAAGGTTGCTATCTTTACAAATAAACTGTGAATGATGCCCTAGAATTGTACCATATACAGTCCTCCCTTATATTGAAGTGCTTGACTCTGCCTAGGCCTCTTTCCATTTCCCTTCCTAAAATCCAGGGGAAAAAAAAATAAAATCCAGGGGAGGGAAGGAATTTAGAATCTTTGTTCAGATCTCTGAGATAGTGCCACAGTTGGGGGGGGGGGACTCACAATCAGCTAAAAAAAATCACGTAATATTTAAGTAATATTTAGATATTACTGTCCAGGCATTGTGGCTTCTGCCTGTAATCCCAGCACTTTGGGAGGCTGAGACAGGAGGATTGTTTGAGGCCAGGTGTTCAAGGCTACAGTGAGCTATGAGGGTGCCACTGCACTCCAGCCTGGGCGACAGAGTGAGACTGTCTCAAAAAAAAAAAAAAAAGAGAGAGAATTTGAAAATATGTATATCATGGTCTCTGCCTTTAACAATGTTAAAATATTGTTGAGAAATGTGTGTGTGTGTGTGTGTGTGTGTGTGTGTGTGTATGGTTGAGAAAGATAATTATGAATGATCAAATAGAGAATAAAAGAAAAGATCACATAGGTGCTAAAAAATAAAGCAAATCTGCTTTCGAGGAAGTCATAGAGCAATGTATACCTAAATGAGACCAGCAGAAAGGACAAAGTTTAAGTAGATGGTATAATTTGTTCTAAGCAAGGTCACTTAGGTAGTACAAATAATTTATATCGTGATGCATCAGAAAATTAGGTTAAGATAGCTATCATTTAATTAATTATTAACCAAAAGCCAAAATAATAACAAAAAATAGAATAATGATGTAGCAGAGTGTTTTGTCCCACTGAACCCACAGCTGGAATCACTCCAAAAGCAGTGGCAGGCCTGGAATTCATGGCTGCAGTGAGTTATAATCTCACTACTGCACTCCAGCCTGGCCAACAGAGCAAGACCCCATCTCAAAAACAAAAAAGAAGTTCCCACAAGGGAGTTCCCTAAACTGTCTTGAGATAAGACCCCCAGTTGGAATTCCAAAGAAAGAAGCATTAAATGCCAGGGTGATCAACCCAAAACAATTGTTAGAACTTACCTACAGAGTGCTATAGCAATCCTCATGATGGACAGTGAGAGAAAAGGGGTGTGGACCTAGTATGTCTACAATGAGGGAGTCAGGGTAAGGAGTTTATATGAGGGTTTAAGGTATTTGACTCAAGGCCTGGGCCAGTACTTTCAGTGTTTTGGGCAACAACCTAAATACTTTTATCAGGCCTGAAACTGTTCAAGGCCCCAGTTTGTGTTGAAGCCTGCTGGGAGAACCTGCAGGTGGCTATGTCACACAGCAGTCAGGGCACTCTGTGATTTTTGTTCAGGACACAGAAAGAAAGCTGCGAGGGGCTGTTGGGGAGGTCTCCTAGGGGCCCTATACAAATGTTGTTGGTGTCCTTTCTACATATCCTCAGCACTTCCTGTTCCATACATGCTGAAAAAGTCCTCTGAGTACTTGCAAATTTTCACTTGAGGACTTTTTCTGGAACCCTGTAGGACAGGTCTGAAGTGCCACAGAATTTCCACTGGAAGCATCCTTCAACCAACAACAGATGGGAATTGAAGGATAACTGTACCAATTGTGGTAGGCTGAAAAACGACTTCCAGATATACAAAGCCCAAGTCCCTGGAAACATAAATATTAACTTATACAGGCAAAGGTGTTATTAAGTATAAAACTTTAAGGTGAAGAGATTATCGACCAGGCACAGTGGCTCATACCTGTAATCTCAGCACTTTGGGAGGCCAAGGTGGGTAGATCACAAGATCAGGAGCTCGAGACCAGCCTGGTCAATATGGTAAAACCCTGTCTCTACTAAAAATGCAAAACTTAGCTGGGCATGGTGGCATGTACCTGTAGTCCCTGCCACTAGTAAGGCTGAGGCAGGAAAATTGGTTGAACCTGGGAGGCAGAGGTTGCAGTGAGCCAAGATGCATCACTGACTCTAGCCTGGGAGACAGAGTGAGACTCCGTTTCAAAAAAAAAGAAGAGATTACAGGCAATCATATGGATCCTTTTAAGAGACAGACAGGAGAAGACAAAAAAGAAGGCAATGTGACCACAGAGGCAGAGACTGGAATTCTCTGCAGTGATGTAGACAAGTCAAGGAATTCTAGCAGCCACCTGAAGAAGGAAGAGACAAGGAACGAATTCTCCCCTAGTGCTCAGTCCAGTGATGTTAAGTGCAGACTTGTAGACTCTAGAACTGTGAGAGAATAAATTTGTGTGTTTTAAGCCACCAAATTTGTGATCATTTGTTACAGTAGCCATAAAAAACTAATAGACCAATAAAATATAATGAAAACGTACCAATGTCCTTAATGCTCAGAGGTAGGACACCTCTAAGGCAGCTCTTCCCAAACTTTTTGGCACCAGGGAGGACAGGTTTCAAGGAAGACAATTTTTCTTCCTTGAAGATCGGGGTGGGAGATGGTTTTAAGATGAAACTGTTCCACTTCAGATCTTCAGGCATTAGTTAGATTATCAGAAGGAGTGTCCCACCTCAAACTGCACCTCGAATGTGCAGTTCACAATTGGGTTCAAGCTTCCATGAGAATTTAATGCCTCCAGTGACTTTGAGTTGAATTGTGTCCCTCTGACAGGAGGCAGAGTTCAGGCAGTAATGTCACTCACCTGCCGCTCATTTCCTGCTGTGCAGCCCGGTTCCTAGCAGGCCACGGACTGATACTGGTCTGTGGTCCTGCTTCCTGGGTTAAATTGATTTAATTTAATTTAATCATGGCTCACTGCAGCCCTGACCTCCTGGGCTCAGGTGTGAACCTCCTGGTCTAAGGAGTCCTGCCCTTAGAGCAGGGATCCCAGGACCCTGCTGTAAGAAAAATAAGATCACATTCATAGTTAGCAGGGATTAGGATTTCAACCTATCTTTTTTTGGAAGAGGGACACAATTCAACCCAAAGTCAAATTCAGAGGACCCCAGTTGTATCACTTATTTAGGTACTTTTACATTTTCCTAGATATAAATTATTTCGTTTTATCCTCAATAATTGTATGATGTAAATATTAGCTGTGTTTAATTCATTTTTTAATAAATGAATTACAGAATTAGATATTATAGTGTAGCCAAGTTTGTGTTTACACCAGGTGGGAAACATAACAAGATGCCAGTCCTACTAGTGGGAGTAGTTTTCCAGCAAAAGGGATCAAATAACTTAAGCTGCATTCCTAATCTGCAATATTATAGTCAGGGAAAAATTAAAGAGAGATTTTCCTAGGGTTGTGATACACGTTCTTTTCTATTTAAGATATTTGTTCTTTTCTATTTAAGATGTTTGTGGATAAATTAAACTAAGAAATGGTATTTCCTGTTTCTTTACTTACAATGATTGTTCAGAGCCATTCTTTATTTATTCATGGTCTTTCAAAATTCCTAGGGAAGGAAAAGTAGATTCCATTAACAAAGTCATGTATAGTCTTTTGAGCAGCAATAGTTTCTCACCCTCCACTCTGTACCAGACTCTGCTAGGAGCTCACTGTGAAAGAATGTTCTGTAAAACAAGGATGTATTGTGTCTAAGTCTCTATTCCAAAGCTGCTGGGAAGTATAGCTGAATGGGAAGAAAACTATCAAATAAACTAACATCTCAGGTATCATGTATATCATCCTCACACCTCCTACAATGCCAATCCTACTTATTTTATTTTTTAATTTACTATTATTGTTGTTATTATTTTATTTTGAGACAAGGTCTTTCTCTGTTGCCCAGGCTGGAGTGTGGTGGCTCAATCATGGCTCACTGCAGCCTTGACCTCCGAGGCTCAAGAGATCCTCTTGCCTCAGCCTCGAGAGTAGCTGGGACCATAGGTGTACACCACCATACCCTGCTAATTGTTTACGTATTTATTTTATTAATAATACTCTGTACTCCAGGCCGGGTGTAGTGGCTAACACCTGTAATCCCAGCACTTTGGGAGGCCGAGGGAAATGGATCACGAGGTCAGGAGTTCGTGACCAGCCTGGCCAACATGGTGAAACTCCATCTCTACTAAAAATACAAAAATTAGCTGGAAGTTATGGTGGGTGCATGATGGTGCACAGGTGGCTGAAACAGGGGAATTGCTTGAACTCGGGAGGCGAAGGTTGCAGTGAGCCAAGATTGCACCACTGCACTCCAGCTGGGCAACAGAGCAAGACCTCATCTCAAAAACAAACAGACACAAACTCTGTACTCCACCTACCACCAAAGTTCAAGTCCTGTCTGCCTTTGGTTACAAATTTGGAAATATTTGTGCATATACACCTAAGACCTGCTTGGATGGCATTTATGCTTCTGATTTCTTTCCTTCACTTTCCAAGCTTCTGCTGATCTTATTTAAAATTCACTTGGGTGAATAAATGGATAGGTAAGTAAAATATCTACTCCAGCATCTGTCACACCAAAAAGAAGATAAGGATCTCCCCCTGAGGAATCTCTTTCTTGAGCCCATTAGGGGGAAAAAGACTTTTAAATATCCTATTTAGGACTGTTTACATCCAGAGAAGAAAAAGGGAATTGCCAATTTCTGGAGGTGGCAAAAAATGGGAAATGGAGGGAAGGAAGGAAATGAAAAAGGTAGGCTCCAAAACGTAATATGATTTAACGTGTCATTTCTAGTATGTATATGAATTATCTACTGCTATTTAAGAAGTTACCCTAAAACTTGGCAACTTAAAACAATAATAAGCATTATTTAACACAGTTTTATGGGTGTGGATTTTAGGAATGGCTTAGCAGGTTTGTTCTGATTCTGGATGTTTCAGTCTAGATGTTGGTCAAGGCTGCAGTCCCTGAAGACTTTGCCGAGGCTCAAGGATTAACCTCCGGGATCATTCATTCATATGAATGAATGGTCCTGGAAAAAAGCTTCAGTTTTTCACTACATGAACCTCTCCATAGGACTAATTGGGTGTCTCCATGACAAAGCAGCAGGCTTCCCCTAGAGTACATTATCCAAGACAGAGCAAAAGGAAAGCTCTAATATCTTTTAAAACCTAGTCTTGAAAGTCATCATTTCTGCTATTCTATTTGTCGCAAGTAAGTCACTTAATCTAAACTACACTCGATTGTAGGGGAATTGGCATTTACCTCTTGAAAGGGAAGAATATCAAAGAACTATGGACATATTTTAAAACCACCAGAGTGGGGTTCAATGAGTATTTACTGAGCATCTATATTGGGACCTGGATATGCACTGGAATTTAAAAATAAACTATTTTTCTATCACTAAAGAAATAAGAGTTTTTATGTAGGTAGACAAGAGAGCCAGTTTTAGAATACATGACATTACAATGCTGTAATAGGTTTAAAACCAAAGGACCATAAAGATAAGATTTAAATCATGGACACCGTAAGGAACTAGTTTTCTGCAGAGCAGAAGAGAAAGGTTATTTTATACCCTGTATGACTGTCCATTCATAAAACTTCTCAGGACCTGAACTGAGAACTAAATACCAAAGATAGTGACTTACTCTATTTTATAACTCCCATAACTAGGTTAGTACTTTGTACCTAAGAAGAATCAATAAATATTAACTGGTTTGTTGAATTTAACCAATGAATTAAGATGAATCCTAAGTATGGACCCATGTACCCCTATTAGATTGTTGCAGATTTCAAGAACTATGATTGTTCTGAGTGTTTCTGTTTTCATATTTTCATAGTCATCACTAGACTGCCAGGAACTTCTTGAACCAGTAGGAATATAACTTAGAATTTCATTCCTAATACTTTTTGATGGAAAGAATTTTTTAAAATTTTTGATTTTTTTACTTTTTGAGACAGGTTCTTGCTGTGTTGCCCAGGCTGGAGTACAGTGGCACCATCCTAGTTCACTGTAGTCTCAACCTCTGGGGCTCAAGCAATCTTTTCACCTCAGCCTCCTGAGTAGAAGGGACTACAGGCAGATAGGAAGAGTTGGGTTTTTTTTTTTTGAGACTGAGTCTCGCTCTGCCACCAGGCTGGAGTGCAGTGGCATGATCTCAGCTCACTGTAACCTCTGACTCCCTGGTTCAAATGATTCTCCTGCCTCAACCTCCCAAGTAGCTGGAATTACAGGCATGTGCCAACACGCCCAGCTAATTTTTGTATTTTTAGTAGAGACGGGGTTTCACCATGTTGGCCAGGGTGGGCTGTATTTCCTGACTACATGATCCGCCCTCCTCGGCCTTCCAAAGTGCTGGGATTACAGGCGTAAGCCACAATGCCTGGCCAATAGGAAGAGTTTTTAAGAGTGCCAGTTATGGTCTGATCTACCAAGGATCCAATCAGGTCTTCCATGGCTAGGTCAACTGTCAGGTTGGAGTTGATAACGTATTTTTATGGAACTTTCTTGGCTGCTATAACCTGGCCAGGTCCAGCACCACAGGCCTTGTGGTGAGAAGCAGCTTGTGGTGGAGAAGCAGCTGCACTGACATCCACACCCTCATTCTCTGTTCAACACCACTCCATTTTCCCATCTTTACCCTTCTCAGTTCATTGATTTATATTTTTATGAAATCATTTGAGCAACAGTTATGAACTGACCACTTACTCTATATTAGCCACTCTGTCAGGGTCTGAGCAAAAGAAAAGAACCATTCCTGCTCTTGTTGAGCTTATGGTCTGTTAGTGGGAACTAGATACAAATAAAAGAACCACATCAATAGATATAACATTTTTAAAAGTTTTATTTGTAATTGATGTCCATAAAAAAGACAGTATATAGTGTTATGACATGTTAAACTAAGGAAAAATGGCCTGGTCATGGAGGTTACAGTAGGCTTTTCCAGAAGAAATAATGATTGAACTGAGATTGAAAAAACAAGGAGTCAACATGTGTGTTTGTGTGTGTGTGTGCGCGCGTGTGTGTGGTGATTAGACATTTCTAATAGATGAAACAACTTGTTCAAATCCCTGTGGTTAAAGGACACATAGTTTTATTGAAGGGAGCACAGTTCAGGGTATGCTTCCTGCTTTCTCCCTCTTTCCATCCTTCCTTCCTTTATGTCTCCTTTCACCTTGAGTTCAGAGAGTCAACAACTTTCTCAGTTTCTGACATATTATCATCAAGGCAAAGACTCTCTTTTGCATTTTGAAATTTATCTGCATATTCAGTTTTATCTCCTTTCAGCAATTCCATTCTCTTCTCTTTCATAAACAACCATTTTAATGCATTTAATATAAATTTTGAAACATTTTCTTGTGAAAATGACTGTTTTGTTTATATATTATTAATCTATGTCAATAATATTGTTTTATTAGTCTCATTTCTTTTTTCACTCAGCACTATGTTTTAAATATTCGTCCAAGCTGCTCTGTGTAAATCTAATCTGTTGTTTCAAATTGCTGCTTAGTGCTCCACGGTGGTTTATGTGCCACTTAGTACATATTGACTCCAGTTTTGGATTGTCTCCAATTCCTTTTCACCTCAAACAACAAGGACTTCACTCACACACTTTAATGAACATCCTCCAACATGTCCTCACGGGGACCTGTGAGAAAATTCCTGGAAGGGTATAACGAGGAGCACAACTGCTGGCTGATAGCTTATGTGTGCACTTGACTAAATCATGCCAGCTGGTTCTTATAAACCAAAAAGAGAATCTGGGAGAGGGCTTCATCAATTTAGAGGTTTGTTTTGTCAAGGCTGAGAAGTTGTCTGGGGAAAAAGACACAAGCCACTGTCAAATCTGTGGCTCGCACTTTTTCCAAAAAGGGTTTTGAGGGATTCAGTAATTAAAGAGGAGAAAGCAGGCTGGAGGGGAAGGAGGAAAGGAAACAAAAGGGGAGAGTAGAAAAAATGAGGTAAGTGGTTACAGTTTTTTAAGGCTTTGATTATTTCTCACTGAATCCACATGTTGTATGTGAAACAGATGGAGTGGAGAAACAGCCAATTCTGTATTTGTCTCATGCTCAGTAAATCTGTAGTTTATGTAAGATAAAGTAAACGTCAAGGAAGAAGTCAAACCTGCATTCATCTCAGGGTGGGCAGTGGGACGATTTCTAGCCTCCTCTTGTCCTGTACATGTGAAGATAAGCTGGTCCTGTTTTTGTTTGTTTGTTTGTTTCAGAGACAGGGTCTCTCTCTGTCACCCAAGCTGGAGTGAAGTGGTATGATCATGGCTCACTGCTGCCTTGAACTCCTGGATTCTAGCAATCCTCCTACCTCAGCCTCCTAAGTAGCTGGGACTATAGGGGTGCACCACCATATTTGGCTAATTTTTTTTTTATTTTTAGTAGAGATGAGGTTTTGCTGTGTTGTCCAGGCTGGTCCCTAACTCCTGGGCTCAAGCAAACCTCCTGCCTCGCCCTCCAAAGTGCTGGGATTACAGGCGTGAGTCACCATGGATTACAGGTATGGGGAAACCCCATCTCTACTAAAAATACAATTAGCTGGGCATGGTGGGGTGTGC